TATAATAGAAGCTCAACTAAACGAATAACAGTCGAGTTCAATTGGCTCTTAATGCAAAACTTATATTAATTAATAATAAAACTTGGGATAAGCGCAATAAAACAAATAAGAAGAAAAGAAAAGAAAAAGAAAAAAGAAAAAAAAAGCATGTACACTATCAACATAGGGCCACACTTACAACCGGTACAGGACCAAATTGCAAATGAACCCCTAAACCATCGCAAACATGCATAAGCCTGGCAACCGATAACAAATTGTCAATAATTCATTTTCGAAACGTAACGACTTTTTAAGGATAAAAGCTAGTTTACATACGACATAGGTAAATCGCGCGTATTAAGCAATGTTGCTTTAATGGACTTTAAAGAGTCCGATAACGAGAATAAGTGGTAGACGTCATTTAGGTTCTTGCAAACAACTCTGAGCGGATTGAACACCTCATAATTAAGCTTACACTGACTAAGCTTAACCAAGAGAAAGTGCCTAGAGAAGCGGTAAGGGACATTAAAGCTTATTTCACCAAGTAAGGAAGGCGAGTCAATGGCACCATTTATTATTTTAATTAGAAACGAAACGCCAAGAACAAACCTACGTTTCTCAAGAGACGGTAGGGACAGCAGAAGCAACCTATTTTCATACGGAGGGAGAGAGGCAACCGATAGCAAAATTGCGCTTACTAATAGTTAGCGTTAGTTAGTCCTGTGTGTAAATATAGCGAATTTTGTTTGAAAATAGCTTGAACAGTATCGTTATAGAACAATAATAGAACGATATCCATATCCCATCGATCTAGTGTCGCAAGTCTTTATAAAATATCCCATTAAGGTTATCATTATGTAAAATACTTACATAAAGTAGACACTAATATATTAAGCCGTTAGCACGCTTCTACCGCAATCCGAATGAAATGCGTATAAGAATTCTTACTCCGAGATAATGTTGCCCTTTTTCGATATCTAATGGGTTTAGCTACAGTTATCGTATGCCGGAGGTAGGATGTACTAAGATCTAAGTGCTTCACTTAACAGTTTGCCTAACTTACTAATCAAGTCCGATTTGAAAGGCCATAGGTGAAGCAAAAGCAAAAAGAATTAAGATAAATTTTTGTTGTTCAAAACATATGTGCTTCATGCTTCATGCTGACTATAAATTTGATTAATTAAATTCTCTTAAATACTTAATCCTTTTAATAATAATGGAGAAAAATCCATAAAATATAATTTCAGCTGTTATTTGCTCTATTGAATTTCGCCTTTTATGAGGCACAAAATCCAAAAGCAGATTATTCGCATTAATAGATACACAATCAGTTTGTTTGAGCGTCGAACGATGTGAGATCTGCCCACCCACACAATACCTTTTTGAAGTTTTATCTGTTTTCTTTCAGGTTTGCTTGTTATTATTGGTTTACCTTTTTTTTTTCCTTTTTTCTTTTCTAAGTCAACCATTGTCTTGACTATCAAAATATTTATGCAAGAAGGATATTTAATAAATAGAAAGGATAATTTATGTCTTTTGTAATGCAATGAATGTCAACAGATATTCCCTTGAGAACTATGACACAAACAAATATAATGTAAGTCCGTAACAATAGCAAAAATTGAAAAGTGTGTACAGTGTTTAGATAGGCATTGAAAGCAGAAGCCAAAACCAGAAAATAACCCAAAGACCTAAAGAAAAAATGAAAAAAAGAAATAAAACTCTCAAGCAGTGTGTGTTTTTGTCATTAGAAGCATTGGAGAAGTAAAAGAAACGCTATGAGTAGTTGAGAAGCGGCAAAAAGGCAAAAGAAATGAAAATAAAAAATAATGAACAAAAAGGACAATCATTACAATTGTTGAGTTCAATTGTGCTCTGTGAGTGAAGGCACTACCACTATCAAAGGTAAATAGAGAGGAAAATAGGAAATTAGCACACAGGCCCACAAAACCATTTAAAGATATTTTCCAATCGATATGGGCTTGTGATAACAGGCTGCAAAAAATGATTGGCTACAGCGAACTAATCTTATATAACGGAAATGATGTGACTTGATAAATACTTGTGTAGCCGTTTTATGAACCTAGAATTCGATGTCTCGCTTTATGAACACTATCATCAAGCTATTTTTTACTACTTATCTGCCTGTTCGCCTTTTCTGAGTTCTCTTTCCACTTCATTCAGCATATAATTTACTGTCATTTGCATTACTTTGACCTGATTTACATGAGTGCTTATGAGTCTGTTGTGTTCTTTTAATGCTTTTTATTTTGTTCACTTCGTTTTTTGTCTTTTCCATAATTCCGTTTGTCAGTTTGCCCTTGGTTCACTTACACAATCAAAGTTTTCACCTGTAATTTCTTACATCATCGTCAGTACTTTACTCCCACACATGCCCGCTTGACTGATTGTTCCTATTGTTGCGTTGAATTGGTGGTATTGAGATGACACGTCGCCTCTTTCTGCTTGTGTGCATATGTACGTTACTGTCAATCTGGCATATTTTTATTCTCTTGTAGATATGTATTGCAAAAGGACACTCTTGAAACAAAAGCGCAACGTTAATGAGGCAAAAAAAAAAAAAAACAGGTAAACCTGTTCGTTAAGTTTTACTTCTAGGGAAAGACAGGGAAAGACAAGAGAGAGAAAGAGAGAGAGCGAGAGAGAGAAATATTGGAAATATGAAAAGATGACAGTGAGAAAATTGTGTCACTATCACCACGTCATCAAAGACGACGGTTTACCTTTCCTGATGAATAAACCGCTAGATAGGTCAAGAAAAGAGAAGAAAAAAAACCAAATATATCCGGAAAAACTTTATAAAGCAGTTAATTAACAAATTGAAGCAAAAATTGATTTTAAGAAACTTTATTTTCCCATTTTCAAGAGAAGTTTAAAAGCGGGATAATTAATAATTTATGCAGAATAAGTTAAAGAGTACAATACGAATATATTTGTTAAGGCTTTAACCTGACTTTTTCATACTCAACCGTCGCCTTCTTATTCACGCGCTGTTCGTGATGCTATCACTTGTTTGCAGCTAGTCCTATATATTTTTACTTCCTGAAAGAAATCTGCCTTGCTTCGCATAAATGTCAATACTACGCCTGCTCCGATGACTTGATAAGCATCAATAGACAACTAAGCGAGGAATATATTACGCTTATTAGTTTCCAAATACGGGAAAGGCATCTCCGTAAACTGAACACTAAATCTGCCTTTTTTCATTTTTCTATCAGCTAAAAACGAGAGAAGGGTTACCAACAGCCACATCAGGTTTCGAGACAGAGTTATTTCACACGCACATTGACCAGGACACCACGTGCTGCAGGTAAAAATTATCAGAGCTTGGATGGAATTGAATTTATCGAGTCTATAGTTCCCCCCTTTACTCTATCTTGACCTACAATGGAGAATCATTGACCCTTCTTCCTTCATTATATACAAGCAAATACTTAAGCAATAAATTTGTACGTAAGGAAATTTATGAAAGATGTTAGGGAAGCACTTGAATCCCCAGCTTCATCGACACTACTTCCAACTTAGTCTAACAGCCTACTGAGTCGATTGCTAACATGGCGTATCGTAACGCATAAACATGTTAATCTAACTTAACTTAATTTAACCTAAACTTGCCTTCATATTTCTTTCTAAAAACTAATTAAAACGAAGAAGTAACAAAATTATTTTCTTTTGGAATCGAGCTTCTAATGATTCTTAACTAAATCAGATGTACGTAAGTAAACAGCTGGAAGGAAATGTGCTAACCATTTTTACAAGGAGTATTAATTCAATTATGCTACGCGATGATACCAAGTTTCAACTTTTCCGAGCTCACTTAGTAAAAATTTTGGAACGTTGTAAAAAACAAATTTTCTCCAGGACGCAGCAAGTTCTTCTTACAAGAAAATTTGTTTTCTTTGGAGCACAATTGAGATCTGCACTCTTGCACTGGCAATCGCTACAGATAACCTTATACTTACCGCCTTTATTACTTTGCCTAGATTAAATACGGCGATTAATGTGCAGAAACTCTTCTCGAACCAAGGGATTTCATAATTCCATGTATTTTATTCAATTCTTCGTCTCCTCTTACATTCATCAGCGCCAGCGTTGATATGCTTACTTACATAAACTGTCGAACGTATTCTTCTTTCCCAGATTATTAACTGTCCTGCCTTGCAGCACGCAACGCTTTTAACACTCCGTTTTGTAACAGAGAAAAAACGTTTCCATTAGTATCTTATCAACCGAACGTTCTTCACCCTTCCTTATCCTTAAACGGCAAAGAAAAAGGTTCAAGCAATCTTTACGCTTCGACAGTTCAGACAGAAAAGAGAGCCGAGCGATCTTTACGCTTCGACTGTCCAAATTAAAAAGAGCTCTTTTGTTGATGACTCTGTCCAATTCTCCCTTCAGTCCTTCCCTTTAATTCCATTCATCTGAAATCATCTGGGCTTCCGTTAATTTCCTATGTCAAGAATTAATCCTAGCTAAATTCATATTGAGTCCTAAAAAGACATAAATCATAACGTAACTATACTTAAATCATAAGCTATTAGAAACATTCCTTAAGACGGCTTGTGAAAGTAAATTAGCAGGGCCTTTCTCCTCACGCCTTTGTTACTGAGATACATCTTGAAAGTTAAACGCTCCAACTTCCTACATACTACACCATGCAAGCCACCTACTGTATATAGAGGAATAAAAGCACTTTCCTCTCTTCGTCTTAAAAAAGTAACTTTTTACATATATCCATACTTAACCAATTTAGTATGATTTGCCTCATGAGGCAAGCATGGCTAAGGGGAAAAGAACTCATCGCATGTTAGGCGTGATAATTGATTTCGTTACCTATCTTTTCCCATTATTCATTTTATTATAGCTACGCCATAGATAATATCTTTTTACGTTTGAGTACCAAAAACCGAGACAAAGTCTGCAGGGTACCAAAAGTTGACGCCGTCAGCGATAACGCAATTTTGCTTGAATTAAAAACGAACATTTAATTTATGAGATATTGCTATTTAATCCTTTTTATTACTTTTTCACTAATTAAAAAACAAAAAGTTGCTCTATGTTCGTAACGTATAGATCCATGATTTCAATTCAATTATATTTCAAAGTCAACCTTATTCTCGCGCAAGCACATGGATATCTTGAAAGCAGTTTCACATTCATTGGAACCGATCTCTTTTTGGCATTCTTTAACTATTGCAGACAATTGATTTTGATCGTTCTGATCGGCGGGAGAAGATTTCACGCTTCTGATTACTGCTTCTTCCAAGAGAGCACCGTTCCTGAAATGGCCCTGTTTCTCCATAACGCACTTCATATAACATTTAACACCGTCACTAACATCATTAGGTGATGCGCTAAGGGTCCGAAGATCATTCTCGTTGATCTGCACGTCTTCACGGCAAGATTGTAAAATCTTTTCGAAATCGTCTTTAGTGGAAGACTAAAAAGAAACACAAACAGGAAAACTTAATTCAAGTCTTCATTTTGTTTTATAAATCGTACGAAAACTAAAGCGACATAACAGGCTAACGATAGACAAATGATGTAAATAAATTTCATGTTTGTTATTTTCCCAGCGTGCTTTTCACCTCACTTTCCCAAGACTAACTGTGAGTTGGGTTCAGTTACTATAAAGCTTTTATAGAGGAATGCATTTAAACTAATTTATTTGTGCTTTTATTTTTTTTTCATTTTTAATTTTTAATTTTTTTTTTTTCTTTAATTAAAACAATTTATTTTTGGTTTTTATTTAATTCAATGACTGTGAGCCTCTCTATGTCTGTATTCCTGTGAGCGCATGTATGCGTATGCATGGCTGTTTGCTTTAATTTTCATACACTAATCATTGTCTGAGTTGAATGAAATTTTATTAAATGCAATTATCAGATACATTTAAACGAGTTTTCATTCAAATATGGATGTACGTGTGTACATACGTATACTCGTAAATAAAATTTATGCGTATGCACACACTTTCGAATATACAAATAAGCATAAATAATAGTATATTTGTTATACCAATTGATTATTAAGTTGAATTTATATTATATTTAATTTTTATTTTTTAATACGCGTAAATTATTATTGTTAATAATATTATGTGGTTTATGTACCACATCTCTTTATGTTTATCCAACAACGCGACCGTATGGCGGGCATAAGGTAAACTAAGTTTACAATTCTACTTGTGACAAAGGGAGGCAAGGATAAAAGCATTAACTAAGTACCCCAGACCCTTTAAGTACGCCCCTTGGGCCAGCTATTATCGCATAATTTAGTGTTGCAAAACCTTGATAAAAAACTTAAGGCTTAGTGCATATGTATTCGAGAGCAGGTTAGACATGCTCAGGTATGATGGTTGAATAACAGAAGGAATATCTCCGCAGATATTAAAATCGCTTCATATGCTGAGCTATCATGTCTTAAATTCGGAAATTCGCACAATACGTTTCTACTACGTCATTCGTTTTATCCGGCTTCCAATTGTCTACAAATTTTTTTTTGCATTTTATACAACTAAGCTCGCAAACTCTGCAGACTAAAACATTATACTCTCGAAATGCAACTTTGTAAAATTGGTTAGTTAACGGTGAAATGAAATATTTTCGTAGTGGAGACTCGGGGGACTCGATATTTGCAATTTCTCATTTTTCACACTAGGAAGGTCCGAGTAATCTACCTTCGTATGTCCGTTTAAGGGGACAAGCAATTGTGGTTGCAGTCTATAAACAGCTTTGGCTAAACTGATAAGGAAGAAATAGGGAATCGGTGAATAGTTTTCTGCTTGCAATCTATAAATAGGTTGACTTACTTCGTAAGAAGGGTAGAGAATGAGCGAGGAATACGTAAGCAACTGCTGTTGCCATCTGTGTAGTATAGAAATCCCGTTAAATATGCTAGACAATAAGCAGACAATGAGAATTGCAAATGTACGAGTACCTCGGTAGTACTAAGCAGTGTACAAAATAAGTAGAGAATCGGTAAATATTGGTACTTGCAAACTATAAATAACATAAGCTGACTCCTAAGGAGGTTAGAGAATATGTAGAGAATTGATATAATGCGTTAATGACTTAAGCTACCTGTAAGGAAGTGTAGCGAAAAAGTAAAGACTCGTCAAGGAATTCCTTGTGTAATCTACTAAGGAAGAACATGACACAAAGTAGAATTTACCAACTATTTGAAATACAACTTACTTCGGTCCGCTTTCTAAGAAAGAGTGTAAGTAATGTTGTACGATGAATGAAACTGCGGCTTTGTCATTTGAAAGCACCGTTTTTAAGCTATTCGTAAATGTATAAGATATCGGACCAAAGTGTATGAAACGTAGTCTCTCGGAGGTTTGTTTACGTGTAGTTCTGCATCATTAGCGGAAAACTTTAGCTTTCCTGTTTAATCAGAAGGATGGCGCTGCTAAACGCTTACGAGTTATGTGTAGTGCATGCGTCCTGATATCCAAAACTTACGTAGGGTAGACGCACCATTAGCACCGAGCATGGCGCGGAACATCCGTATGAGCAGCTGAGTGTAGTAGAACTTCCTTTGACCGCTGGTGAACTGACAGCTCAGTCGGTAAAGGTATAACACACCCACTACATTGTGGCCGCCACTAGCCTACTTGGCTCCCTTTCCTCTCTTCTTTCTGACCGTCACCGTCTTACACGAATAGCGGAAATCCCATAAGTAAATCAATGACTTCTTCAAGATCCGTTGATGAGTTGCAATTATATAACCAAGACGAAATCTCCAAATGCAATACTTCTAGCCAAGGCAAAGTGGGGGCAGTCGCAGAGTATGTGCTTTATAGTAAGAGTTTGTCCACAACAGCAGATAGGGGAAGAAGACTTCTTCAGGATCCATTGGTGAGTTGCAATTGTATGACCAAGGCGAATTCTCGAAAATGTTTGGATCTTGGTTTTCTCAACATTTGTTGGATATAAAGGTGGAGTTAATTGAGGGTTAATGCAAGAGTAGTGTTGATGATGGTATTGTAAATTTCCTTCTGCAATTTTCTCTTTAACTTTTCTTCCAATCTATCTTTGAAGATCCAACTTTTCCATGACATCATCCATAATTACAGGAGCAGAAGCAGCGTACTTTGCCGTTCGGGTTTTGTAATTATATTCCTTAATTTGTTGATGGTGCTCCATCTCCAAGTCGAAGAATGCCGAATAGCTTGTAATACAGACAAACCGTCTGTAACAAAGACGGTTTTGAGTTTATTTTTATGAAAAAGGTTCGCAGCGTGAAGAATAGCCCTGGCTTCGGTTGTGAAAGTTAGAGTACTTTCGTGAAATATGTGATTGAGAAGAACCTGTCCTGAAGTATCTACCGCAGCAGAAGTAGATGGCATACCAGAAGATTTTGAGTCGTCTACTTATAAAAGATTCCAATCGTTACTCTCTATAGCTGGGGATTTTTTAGCTATTAGATTCCTGAAGACGTAATTTGGAGGAGTAGCTTGCTTCTTGTGCGTAGACAGAGAAAAGTAAAAAAACCAGTATTTCAAAATTCATGGAGGTTTAACACCAAAATACCGGAAAACTTTATGGGAATGTTCAATTCCTTTGCTCCGTACAAACAATAGTTAATTGCAGATGGTGACTTTGGAACTTTCTTCGCACGTCTTCACCGAGAATACATTTTGAATTAAGAAGCTTGGAGACTACTTCATCTTTTAACTCATAAAGTCTAATTTCTAAAGTTGGGCGACCAGTGTCAATTATAATATTATTTATGGGCGTCGTCCGGAAAGCATAAATCATAATAATAGTTTAAGGCATTTCCTTCGGCATCCGTAGCTCTTGCAGTTTGTGCTCCCTTCGTGTGAATAAAACTAAATAGTAGCTACTAGCATGTATTCTGATCAGCGAATGAATATAGATGAAATGCGAAGTGTCAATGCACATAATGGTTAAACTCCATAATTTTGACCGTTCTCTGGATAAAATAACAATTTTCCATTCAATATTATTGATTTATTCAGTGCATACAGATTCATCAGTCTAATCACGGAACGCTCGAAATCGCATTTTCGACATTCATTGCCTTTGTTATTTGATTTGAAGGAATCTACTACCGAAGCCTTTTAGAAGTTTATGGTGACACACTCCCAAAGAACCGTTGCAGCAACGCGGGTTCATTGCTTGCCTTAACTTAACGACTTCTGATTGCCACTTGTACAAATGGGCGCAGAATGGCTGGGCTGACACGTGGCTTCTACATGCTGAAGATGTGCGAAGACGGGTCGACGATTGGATTCCCGCCAAACCAATATTGTCCTCTCGAAACGGTATCGCCATGTTGACGAGAAGATGGGGCAGAACTTGTAGAAAATAATGGAAAATATTTTGATAAACATACAATTTTTCACAATAAATGCCTTTTTCAAATAAAAAAAAGATCAAAATACATGCAAGCATTCAATATTTAAGTATTAAACTGAATTTATTGATAGAACAAAAATGTATTGAAAGCGCAAGAGGTGTCCCAAGTTTTGTCATTGGTGTTATTGAGTGTTGAAATAGCTTACGGTAGAAAAGGCTTCAAAAAACATTCTCTGTTTTTCGAATGGCAAGACGATAAAACCGAGAAGTGAGAGAACGGCTGGACGACAGAAGTTTCTTTCTCTCTGCAGATTTCCGGGAAAGAAAAATAGGCGTCTTTTTTAAATCGCTGTTTCCCTGTATTTCCTGCTTTTCCGGAAAAAACGCCGACAATATAATTTGCTTTGAAAGGCACTTTGTTTCCACACCAAACTATGATAAGTCTCCACTATAAAGGTCGACCGTTGATTAGGTCGTCAAGAGATTCGACTTAACTTCAATATAATCACAATCTTGTTTGTTTATGCATATTTAGATATATTGCTAAGTGTAATTAAATTATTGAAATTATAAATATTTATGTATGTGTAATGAATATATATGCGCGTTTTCTGCTCTACCGTAATATATATTTATATATAAATGAATGATATTTTTACGCTGTTGGTTTTGATATATTTTTACTCTAGTTTTTTTTTTTTGTTTTTTAATGTTGATTATTAAAGCTCAGTGTATGCATGTGCGTCAATGCATGTATGTCTCATTAGAGTTCGTGTTAGTGTTTATTTCGTTTTTTTTTTTTTGTTCTTGTTGTACATTGATTTATAATGAAGAAGTAAATGAAATTAATTATAATTATATACTTTACAGCTCATTTAACACTCGCTTTGACAAATTTTTATTGAATAACTTAACAATATTTTATAATTATGTGTAATTTTTAGACATTATTGTATTTTTTCTTTATTATAAAAATATTGCGTAGCCAAAATTATAGAAAACAAAAACACAACGGAATATTTTGTAGCTTTTTTTCCGGCCAAAATAATTAATGTTTTCTTTTTTTTTCGCAACAAAGTAGCGAAGAAGATATTATGTTTACTTTAAGCCGAACGCAATAAAGCGCTACAATTCATTGCTCACAACATATATAATCCGCCAAAGGTGTTTGAAGGATGGAAACATCGTAAAAAGGTCTCAAAACACATACTTATTCTTTATCGGGGCAAACAGCGAAATCGATTTAGCTACTTAATTGCGACTGCACGTGGTTAGTGGACCCGTTTGCATGTTATCAGAAGAAAAATGTCTCTTCCTCGTCCTGCCGGGACGGTTTTAAAATCGCTTCCAGAGCGCTAAGTTAACTTAAACAAATAGCCCAATGGTTCGAGAAGCAACTTCGCAACTTCGGAAAGGTCCTAAACAACTAAGAGATGCTGGCATCTAAATTTGAGCATGTCAAAATCATTGTAGTACCATATTAATTCTTCTAAAAGTACATATCCCTTACTCATTTTTCTTCACATATATAACTAAAATGTATTCAATAGGTTTTCAATATTTTCAAATATTTTACATTTATGTATTTAAAGTATATTTGATTTAAATTAAGTAAAATATAGTTTACTTAGGGATCAAAATTGTTTTGGTAGAAGTTCACGGCGGATTTCATGAAGTACGAGAGAAACATCATATAATCAAAGTTGAGAAGAACATTTTATACCCACCAGCGAATGCTACATCAACCCAAAAATGAGGGTTCATAGACCCCGTAATGTGGATATACCCTCGATCAGCACCAAACTCCGAATCGATGTAACCATGTCCGTCCTTCTGACCATCTGAGTAATGTCTGCAGTAAACATTCACTTTGTCGAAGAAAAAGAAGCTGTCGACTTCAAATTCGACAAAAAGATTATAAGTTCCTGCACACATCCCAAATCGGCCGAAAGGCGCGCTTACGGACACTCCGTTCTCTAAAAAGAAAAGAACTGGTTTTCTGCTCAGGGCAAAACAACAAGAACGGATAACATAGATCTTCGGCGGCAAAATTCCATTTTTTGGTCAAAAAGATTATAGCGTCTAGAAGAAACTCTCAAACATCCACATAAAGTTCAAACAGTTTTGACTGGTGACGAGTGCTGGCGCACCTTAACATGCTCACATGTCCCTCTATCCGCTGGCCCAACGGTTTAGTATATCTGGTAAAGATTTTCCCGCTCGTAAAAAGGAGATTACCGGTGACGGCTATAAAAGATTCGGTCAAAGACGAATATAATTTTCTAATTTTCTTGTTTCTATCATAACCATATTTTATAGTGAATTTTTCAAAATATTTCTCTTTATTACCATTTGGCTATTGAAGCATAGCTGCAATCGAAAAATTTCGGCGTAGTCAACTTAATTCAAAAATTTTTGCGCTAAACTCATTTTAGATTTAATTGAAAAAACAGTAAATTGCGGCTTGCAAACATATGAACACAAACGTGCAAACATTATGCACACAAAGCTGTGCCAGTCTGTCCGTCTGCATGTGTTAAACATTTTCCTGGCATCAACGTTTTTATTTATTTCCTATTCACTTGTTGTAGTTTAAATATAATATTCTTAGCCGTCGCACAAATCCAAAGATAACACAATTGTGATTATAATCATGGAGGCAGCAATGACAACAATAAAGTTGGGATTAAATATAATTGGGTAAATCAATGTTACTCATCGAGGATGTTCGCGGAAAAGTACGACGTAACAAACACATAAGCGTTGTACTCCACTTATAAGAGAATGAAACACAAATACAAAGGCACAAGAGTTTGACAATCAGTGCTGTAACATTCAATATCGTAAGAAGCCGTAGCTACTTGGGACTAACGAGAGTTGTCATTGCAAATTGTTGCAAGAAGATTGGTGACGAAAATTTGGCCCAAATTCGGTGAAGAAACAAACCCCTAATACGATGTGCACCGAAACAAAGTCAAATTTTGAAATGAAAATTTTTGGAAATCTCGTTCCAAATGAATATATAAGTGAAAAAGCAAGTTAAGTTCAAGTTTTCATGAAAAAAAAGTCGGATAGTGATATTAGTCGGTAGTGATAATCGTTGACGCCACATTAGTATACCACGTCGTGTCGTCCACCATAATTACCTTAGACCTAACACACTTATCTTGTGGCCTGGTATTCTCCAAGTCCAATCTATTTGATACCCATGTCGCTGGCATTATTAAGAAAAAATCAATCGACTAGGTCGTGGTGTCAACCGTCTTTATTTTAGAGGTAAGGTACTTTTAGGCGGATAATATATCTTCAGTCGAGGAAATATTGAGGAAAATAGTTTTAAAAATTCTGTCTTCTCCATCTTATGAATGACAAGCATAAGACTTCGAAAAAGTTTCACCAAAAGAAAATTTAATCTCTTGTAACTTTGTGTGGGCATGACCTATTTTTTCCATTTTGCACATAAATAGCAGGGTTTTTTGTAAAGTAAATTTTCATTTTTTTATAATTTGTGAGTAACGAGCAAAAACCCATCAATTTTTGCGTACAAAAACGGAGATGATTCCAGTTTACGCTTCACTGCGAGCTTGTGCTCTGACCAACGCTTAATACCAACTTGTGTGCGAAAACTTCCAATGTTTCTACCAAATTTGTAGTCGACATATGCATATTTGCGACCAGAAGTGTGCCAACAACATACACCATAAAGACACATAGGCACAGAGACGTACAGATATGGTTTGATCAATTCGGAATTTTATATTGATCAATAATACATATATCCTGTAGGGTCTCTAAAGCCTTCTGTGGGATGTTACAAATGTTGTGACTAAATAAGTATAACCCACATCTCTCAGTGGTGGTTATAAAACAAGTGAAAATATTAAAGTTGCAGAATGCCGCCCACTCCATAATTTTCCTTTACAAAATACCATATGAACACTTAATCTTCTTCTACTATAGTCAGACTTTATTGTCATACTAGTTTCGAATCTTTTCTTTTCAGAACTAAATGGTTTTTTATTGCGCTTAAACGCACAATGGTGTGTTTCATAGTATGGTCGACAGGCGGATATTACATTTTTGCAAGGATATCGAGAATTGCCATCTGATACACCAATTATAAAAACAGAGTGTCTTTCGTTTTTTTGGATTGTGTATCGTAGAATATGATATCTCCACGCAGCTTAAGTGTTAACTTAGCTTCTCGATATTTGCGCACAAAAGCGATACATGGGGAAGCACTACCGACGAATATGACATCCACAGCAAGCGAGTCTTCTGATGCGCTCGCAGAGTTGATATGGTCTAAAAACGTTTGTCCGACATGCGCCAAACCTCGTAGTGACTCTGTTAGTAAGAACATCAACAATATAACAAATGTCAACAGTCACAATTATAGGACTTTAGGTGGCGGTGATGCTTACGGCGGCGTCGACAATATTAATGATAACGTGAACGCTAACATTCGTAATTCTCGTCAAACGATAGCAAAGATACCAAAACTTACTAAAGTGAGATCAGAAGCAGCCGGCCTAAAAAGGGTGTCCTTCGGTTCCTCTAAAGATTCCATGGTCAAAACGTTGGTTTTTGAAAAACTCTCCTTCTCTCCTTTATCAGAGCATCTGGAACTAAATTTGGAATGTGGTTGCGACGGCGATCATACGACACCTACCTACAATAGGTACACTAAATTTAATACGGACAAGGTTGGTATCGAAGTTCAAAAGGACTCAGCACGTTCAATTGTGCGTGTGTCAACCTATCAATGCAGGAGACCGCAACATATCCTTGCTCCAAAATATTTTAAAAAACACGGATGTACTGTACATAATACGTCAAGGAATTTTAACCGTAATTGTAAGGGTAGTGTAACGAAGCCTATATTAAACTACGATCGGCAGCAAAGCACTGACTATGGCTGGGATAATCCTTTTCGACCCGGCGGCGATTTATCTCGAGAGGCTGACGAGATTGTTAAAACGGTCAGTAATGGAAAGCCTATCACACCTGCAAAAGATCAGTCGAAAGGCATTGTAAAGGCGCGAGAAAATTACACTAACGCTGATAAAGTGGACCTAGAAAATGTCGCCACATCAAACGTACCACAAAATCAATCGGCACAAAATGATACTACATATACCACACAAACAGTTGTATGGGACGAAGTCATCAAACCAGTAGATAATAATGATATGACCTCTTTAGCTCAGGTTTTAAATCATTTGGTACCTGAACAAATATCTGCTAGTCAGGTGATCATAGGCAAAAAGAAGGGCTGCTGCGTCATACAATGAGTTATTGATTGATTAGATGTTTCGAATGCAATTACAATCCTCACTCATACCTCTGGCCTTTCTGGCACCATCAATTAGCCAGATGAACAGATAAGAAGAGACAAAATTTCTTATTAATATTTGCATACGTAAGAGAAGTGAAAATTAGCAAATAACCAAACCATTTGTTGCCACGAACAGTGCTCTTGACATTACTTGTTTACGCACTTGCGTGGATAGCTTAGTAACTTTAATATTTTTATTTTTTTTACAAATTTTTCTGTATTAATTATTACATATTTAGATATATGTGTACATATATTATGTACTTAATTTTATAAATATTAATCAATGTTATATGGAAGCAAAATTTTCTCTCGTCTCGCTTTAAATAGATTAGGTGTCCACGCATGCGCATAAACAAGTAGTATTAAGAGCACTTGAACACATCAAGTCCACCAAAAACAATGCATATATTATTATATATGAGTTGTACATTTACATATATAATTTTATGTGAAATTGTGTATAGAAAAAAGGAAGCAAAAGAAGAAAAACAAACGGTATAAAAACTTGTTGTTGTTTGGAAATCTTATTTTGTTAAAAGGATTTCAAAAAAAAAAAAAAAAAAAAAAAACAGATCCTTTCCATCTAAATTTGTAAAATATAATTGTTGAACTCTTGTTTCACATACATTGACTTTCTCAAAATGTGATGTTAGTCTCATCTGAAACCATATCCAATAGAAATAGGTTCTCTTGAGCCGAAACATGTCACTATAAGGAATTTGTTTAGAGCACATCGAAAATTGCGATATAAATGTTGAACAAAAATATACTTACCATAGACATTAGACGGACAGATCGCAGATATGATTGTGATCACGAATATATGTGAATGTATGTGTACCTATATATGGAGTTCTGAATCAAATGTTATTTATGGACGTGCAAAAACTAATGGATTTGTTTCGAACCAAAAGCAGCGCTTTTGAGTAAAATAGATATGAGATTAGCTGAAAGGGTGATTTTCTTAAAAAGATGCACGAAAACTTGAAAATTACTTTTTGCGATAAAGAATTTAGATAACTTTCCAGTAATAATTACAATGCATTCGCAAACGTCAAAGAGAACTTGTCCAAGAATTCCTCTATTCTATAACTCATTTGAGATGATGCGCCTTGCTGAAAGATCCTACAAATGCGTACAAGCTTTACGAACCTATGGTAGACCCTCTTTGTGGGTGTAAAAAGGACATCGAATCTTAATTGGCTTCAGATCAAGATCTAACACCTAAATCTACATATGTATGTATTCGTACGTATTTCGAAAATGGTTTTATGGATAATCTTTTTCTGTTTCTACCAAATTTCAAGTCGATGTCGTGTCAACAACACACACCACACCGAGACCTAGGCGGACAGACACGGCCGATCAACAATATATGTACTCTATAGAGTCTCTAAAGCTTCCTTTTGGCTGTTACGACAAAATGAGTACACGCACCAACCTTCAGCGGTGGGTATAAAAAAGATCTTCGTTTTTTCAAAATTGTGTTATGTCGAGACCATGCTGTAATTGTAGCGTATTAAACGGAGGACGCCTGTTCACGGGTCCAAATGTCAACTGTGGTAGAGTTTTCTTTGGTTGTAGCTACAGCGAGTGCTTAGTCGTTTAAGGCATAAAGCTTATCGATTAGCCAAGCGCTCACTAGGCTGCGGACATCACCTCCTTATTTCTTTCTCCCTCCTCGTTTTTTTCCGGCAGTCAACGTGGCACACGAACAGGGTACATTTCTTTGGGAGTCATAATGTTCAAGAAGAAATATTGACCTATTATTATCATTATTATAATTTCTTCAGATCGAGGATTAGAAGAGAATTTTAGAACTGAACACAGAATTTTAGGGGTGAACACTAACAACGAAGACTATAGGGGTTTTTTTTTCTTAACGGTGGACAAGAAGTTAACTCCAGTCGCTTTAATAAAGGCAAATATTTATATTGATATCATGC